GTGACGATGGATGAAACATGGATCCATTACCATACGCCTGAGTCCAATAGGCAGTCTGCAGAGTGGCTGAAAAGCCACGAAAGCCAACCAAAGCGGCCAAAAGAACGACGCTCGGCCGGGAAGGTTTTGGCCTCCGTTTTTTGGGATGCGCATGGCATAATCTTCATCGATTACCTGCAGAAGGGAAGAACAGTTACGGGAGAGTATTATGCAGCGTTATTGGACAAACTGAACGACGGAATAAAGAAAAAACGGCCTCATATGGCGAAGAAAACAGTTCTGTACCATCACGATAACGCACCATCACACACGTCCTTGAAAGCGATGGCCAAATTGGACCAATTACGATTCGAATTGGTTGCTCACCCGCCGTATTCTCCAGATTTGGCCCCCAGCGACTATTATCTGTTCCCAAACCTCAAGCGGTGTCTCCAGGAAAAGAGATTCACATCGAATGAGGAAGTCATCGCGGAAACCGAGGCATATTTCGAAGGCTTGGACATTTCGTACTACAGAAAGGGCATCGAAATGTTGGAAAATCGCTATACCAAGTGTATCGCACTCGAAGGCAACTATGTTGAGGAATAAATATAACTTTGTCCAAAAAACGCTTGTTTTCATTAAAAATCCCGGGACTTTTCAGCCCATGTAGTAATATACATGCAAGAAGAAGATAAACCGTCATGCGTTCCTGAGGGTACCGATTTTATATCCTCCCCTCAACCCTTCCCGCCCCTCCCTCGACGTCATCATGTAAATCTTTAAGAGCGTATCGTTCATGTTTTATGGGACCTTACTGTTATTGTTTATGATTAAGTTTAAGACTTCTCCTAGTCTGTACTGATTGCAAATGAATGGCAGCAACGGCGGGGGTGAAATACGACGACGACGACACAAAAGAAATAGTTGTGCAACGTGAAATAATTTATTATTTCAAAAAAGGAGAACGTTCGAGAAGTACTCGATGTTAACCCTTTTAGTGCCAAGCAAAAATATTGTACCTATACGAAAAATACTAACAATTTGACGAATTTGCTAAAGTTTGGGAAAAAGCTTATAAAAACCAAAAATGATATTTACAAAATTCAAAAAGCAGCATATTACGAAATAAAGAAAGAATAAAGTAATGCCAATTGTATTTCAATATTTGTTGAAAATCATACGAATAACATCAATATAAAACGTGATGAAAAACATAGAAACAAGTTTCTCTTCTACAAACAATATTTGCACATAAGAATAATAATCGTTTGATCACAGTTTTATGTAGATCACGTAGTATGAAGTATAAGTATTACATTTTCAATCATTTTTAACAAAGTAACTAATATCGGATCTGAGAACGAAAACGACCCGACCGAAACCGACCTGAGAACGAAACTGTCCCGTGTCGAGTTTCTACCTTATCGCTCCAGCGTATAGAGCCTCGGCACCAACCAGCATAGAATATAACAAAAAGTTAAATCCAAAAACAACTTTTTAAATTCTTTTGCAATGAAATTAGACCGTTTATAACGTTTTATAAATTTATTTTGAGATAGAGCTTTCTCTGCTTGCAATGCGAATAGTAAGACGCACTCGGATACGCAACCATATATCATCGTTGGCACTTTTCGCAAGTGTTGCGAACGACGATATATCATCGTTCGGCACTAAAAGGGTTAAAGTCAAATAAGTTGCTTCGCGTTGCCACCTCCTCGCGATTCTGCAAAGGACAAAATTAAGGTGCAATAAAGAAAAATGTCATAAAACGTTTTGTATCACATAAAAATAACAGCGTGTGATAATTGCTTCACGTGAAGGTGTTACTTTTACTTATTTCATTATACTATTATTTCGTTCAACAGCGCCAAAGTGGACGAAAATTGCGATGAGAAAATGTATTAATATGGAAATAAGCATCATTATTAATATGATATTTACAAAAATCAAAACGTAATATATGTCTGGAGCCGTGACTTATGTGACGTTTCATGTTCATGAATATCAAACAACAATAATTTCACATATATATATCACATACATTTCACATATACATATATATTACAGACAAGTATACGGTACACGCACATACGCACAGGTTCGTGTACGCGTTGGCAACGAGATATTCAGTTTATTCCACGAGGCAAGATCTTGTGATCGGATCTCGAGATGTATTATGTATAACGCCATTAAAATGCAATTTACTACTTCATTTGAGAAACATCGACTGGCACCAATTCTCCGTTATACTCAATCGTCAATCTTCAACGCGACTACGTGGAATGTCATTGCGGTCCCACGACATGTTACAACAGATTCCTATGCAATAGATTCCTATTTCCAAAGCGAAGCGGAAGTGAATAACTCCAGACACACGATTCTCAATTAACAGAGAAGAGACTCGCAAATGAAAGAAGCGAACAGAATAATTTGCCGCGGAAAAATATGATTTCACAAAATAAGGTGCTCGGGAGAGGTGAAAAAATGGAGGAAAAAGAGGGAAATGAGAGAGAGGGAGAAAGACTCTTGTTATTTACATCGTATATTTTCGGGATGATGTGCAAACGAAGAGACTTGTTATTTCGTATTTTGTTTTTTTGGAATCTGCTATATTTTATCTCATTCAGATATTCAGCGGATAATCTCGATTTGTAATATCTTATTGCGCTTTCAACGACCTGCAAAATTTGTTTTCGAACTCGAATTACGATTCCCTTTTCTCGCACGACAGTTAACGTTAAATACGGCTGTTCATCTCTCACCGCGCTTTCCGCGATTACATCGGATATGCAGGTTCTCTCTAATAGGCAGGCAAAACGTTAGATGCATCGCCAAACGAATGCATGAATACAAGAGATGGTTATCCTAGGATGGTGACCTTGGGATTGATACGTTTTTCTTCCATTGGCGCTACAGCCTCATATAGAGAGGCCTGGGCCTATACCTCTCCTCGTATGTATGCATGTGTTGCGCACGCACAGATTGTACACATACATACGGAACCTGCAGTTTAAATGCCAGTTCCAAACAACAATTTGGAGAGAGACTTTGCCATGGCATGAATACTACTCTTGGTGGTTTGCCAAGGATATTGAAGAGGAATTACGAGCGAATTAAAATTTTTCTGGTTTTGCCGAGGATCGAACCTAGTATTTCTATAGCGTGGCAGGCTGGTGCGCTGTCTACCACGCCACGCTCGGAATCGTTACGTTACCTTCTAAAAATCATCTCTTATGCGAAGGGCCGACAGATCCTTACTCGGTCGATGTTTGACGATTTCTCTCATTCTGTTTGGCAACTCTCACCCTGTACTGTCATTCTGAAAGATTACAAAAGCGAGTTCTTAGTCCTTGGTATTATCGTTATCACATAATTCTGGCTAATAAGTTCGCCTTTATGGAGAAAAAGAGAGAGTAAGAGGGAGAGAGATGAAGAAGAGGAGGGAGAGGGGGAGAGAGAAAGGGTGAGAGAGAGAGCTATACGCGGTTATACGTAGGTTATATGTAGGTGCGTACGGCAATTTTTCTTTATATAAAACATCAGCTTTTAAACGATGCCGCTAATAGTATATCGAAGGTGCAAATGTGATCTTATCTTTTCTACACGAAAAAAAAGAATATTTTTATTTTGAGAAAATCCGTATTCTCAACATGTACATGATAAAATAAGATTATATAATGTTGAATAGGTAAAACCTTGCTTACGCGAAGAAATTCCACATATTCTTACTGAAAATATAATATTCTCGTTATTTAAAAATAATTTTCTTGAATTGAAATTAAAGAAAAAAACGATATCTTCAAACCAAGAATTACAATTTCTTCAACTTGAAATTAAATTATTATTATTTGAATATACCTTATTCTTGGAGAGAAAGCAGTTTATAATATTAAATGGAATTATCGAAAGTTTTCATAATAACAATTTCTTTATCTTATTTCTAAATTGAGGCAATAAGAGAACGAAAATGAGTATATCGAAGCAGAAGCCTGGATGGCTCAGTGGTAAAAACAGATACCCGGCAAACAAAAGGTCCCGAGTTCGAATCCTTCTAACAATTCCGGCTTCCGAATTTTCTCCGACTTTTATAAAAGCCGAGTTTTATTCTTCAGATCATCTTAAGAGTATTTTCACATATTATACAAGTGGTTTCATTGGCTACAAAGTATTTGAAGATGAACCTAACCTAGGATGGTCTTAAATATAAGACAAGATTTGTATTTTGAAATTAAAACATTCATATTATTGGAAGATGATTAGTATATATTTGATTCAAATATAGAATTATTCAAAATAACACATTTATCTTTTCGATATAATTTTTTTTAATGTTACAACAAGGTTTATTATTTTCTGAATAATCATATTATGATTTGTTGTGGACTATCATAATCTTGCAATAACATTAAGGTATTATTGCAATTCAAGAATATGAAACTTATGTATGAAGATAATATATTCTTACTTATATATAAAACAATTGCTTCCATTAAAATATATGTCTTGAATTGATACTTACTTTTTTTCTGTGTACGCACACAAGATTAACTACATCGTATCACTCTACGGGCTACTTAACACTTTACCGACCGGTAGCGGTTCGAACATCCTATGCCCTTTTCACCGGCCACTCAGCCGCAGATCATCCGAGACACCGGCTTGCTGCTTGCTACTTGTCAGTCTAACTTAACCAAATCTAACGGAAAAAACAAAAGTCGATTAATCGACGACCGGTCGTTAAGCGCTGTGGAATAATCGACGGCCGGTCGATAAGCGCTGAGAACAAAACGTCGATTAATCGACGGCCGGTCGGTAAAGTGTTAATATCCTTACACACACCACTTAACACATAACAATGCCTGGCGCTTTTTCCACTAAATGACATTTTAGCTCTTATTTTTCATCGTTCTCCTTTTTTTCTTCCTCTCTTTACGTCAGTTTTTCCACGTTTCGAAAACAAAATTCCCTCTGTCTCTTTCTTTTTTTGCATGCACGAGCACGCGTTGTTTCTTTACTTTGCAACGTTACATTCACGCCATGTAAAAATTGGGAAACATTTGGCTAATGTCCTATATTCGACAAAAATATCGATAGAAAGTATATGAATGTCTAAATGCTCGGTTGTTTGCAATAATAATATAGGATATCTCGATTTATTTGCTACACAATGTTTAACACAAAAATTGTGTATACGCGACACATTGACAAAGTCGCGTTTTTCGACATGGAAAAATAATAAGGATGAACGCGGTGAGAAATGCACGCTAGTAATGAAGGAGCGCTATTTACTCGCAAATGCATTTAATTGTTGTTAGCGTTGCGGCTAAACAGCACAACGAAGCGTCGAATAAAGTGAAACATTCCATGCTCGGTGGAAACTTCCGGTATATACAAGAAGCACAGCCGAAGAAACAGAAGTATTTGATTTTTAGCTTCTCTAACTCGGCATTCCACCCGCTGATAGAATTTAATTAGATTCTTTTATGTTCGGCTGTTGATAGGAGGAAAATTACGAGTATAGAATCAGTGGAATTTATATATTTCTTTTGCTTCGAAAACATTCTTCGAGTTGAAACCGAACGAAAGTCTAACGCGTCTATAATATCTTTAATATCTGTGTTATCTATAATATCTTTCTTCCAGAATTAAATCCGACTACAAAGAAGAGTAGTTCGGCTCTAAAATTTGCTTTGGACGAATCGTCATAATTTGTGGCAGAATTTCAAGAAAAATTCTATTCGCCAAATGCAAAAGGGTGACTCATGCTCTCCACAATCCTTTAAATATCATCCGTCTTACACGAAGCATAAAATTGCAAATAGAATTCAAATTGAGTCCCGTTACGAAAGTAGATCACCCAGAGGATCTACCTGAGAAGACCAACGAATACAACACGACAGTGTGCAAACGCGAAATTTCATTATTCGGACTTACAACAGTCTCGGTGACGCAGATATGAAGGTAACGAACGTCTGGAGAACGAAAACAAGTAGAAACAGACAGTTGAGTCGGACGAATCGGACGATAACCGCAGAGTCGCATGTATCCCGTCACTCGCATATCAGAGCGACGTCACCACACCGCCGACATAACCATTTATATAACCGACGTTCAACTGGTTCTTGAACTTCACTCTTCGATTTCTTTCGCCGCGGCAATCCTCCCACGCTATATCGATCCACGACCTCCACACTGAAAGGAGTGACCCCACCGGTGCGCGAAACAGAAAGAGAAAGAGAAAAAAAAGGAGAGAGAGAGAGAGAAAAAGACTGTAGGAAAAAGGCGGAAAGATGGAAGAAAAGACAGAGCGTAGGGTCATGTACGCGATGAATATTTATTTTCCCCGTACGCACCTGCGATGCCCTCAGCAGACATTCTCACGTGCGAATGTCGTAATGTAACAATGACGGTGTGCGCTCCGAACGAATTTCGAAAGTCATCACAAAACGGAGGACGACGATCGTTTGCAAAGCGTATGGAATGTAAAACAGTAAAATGTTAAGATCATCATCATCATTGGTCGTGTCTGTCTTCCGGAATGTCGGCAGACATAAATCAAAATTGCGTCGAAATAAAGATGGCGCTGGCAATATTACAAATTGCGAAATGCGTGATGCGCGTCGAAATGAGAATGACGAATGCGTCTTTTTTGCGTGATGTTATTCACAATAGGATTAAAAAGATGATTCTTGACGACGGGACCGTAAATGATTGTCTAATGAGTCGGGAGAACAATTCTTTGAAATCGCCAAAAATCTCGACCAGCCGTCGAGACACTCCATCTCTATATATGTGAGAAAATAATTTACACATCACAAATACATCACTCACGAATAGCCAACGAACTCTATTTCTTGTCGGAAACAAGATTCTATTTGAAATAACGGGGACTCCTCTCTCTCTCTCTCTCTCTCTCTCTCGCCTCCCCCCATCCTCCCTCTCTCTCCCCCCGATGAACCAGCCGATAATTAACTTGTCCTTCTTGAGAAATCTCACTTCCAATTCTCGTTATCGTAGAAATGAGACATCGATATCGTGCAAAGAGAATTCTCCTAACGCGCCAGGGCGATAGCAAGAACATCATTCACGGACGACAACGACAATCATCCACTGACAAAAACCTCACCGTTAAATAAAGAGACACTCACCGGCGAAAAAGAGGATCCTCTTGAAATAACATAGCACACTCGAGGTCTCGTTAGAAGATCCACCCGGAGAGAATCTCTACGAGAACATCGACGGAGACACTGACACCGGAGCACCGATACCGGCAGGGTAATGCATGCAGGACAAGAATCGAGCGCGACGAGGGCTTCGATAGGCACTCACTGAAGAATCGCGCTGTCCCGCGAAGAAGAGAAGGCACGTCGTCCGCGCGACGAGAGCTTGCCGAGCGATACCTGCGCACCGGCCTGCATATGAGCCGTCTATAAGGAGGCTAATGTATACGTGGGGATTGCAAAAAGACAATCACCGCGGGAAACACGACGATGCGTACGGCCGATGCGATATATCGGTCAAGAAGAGAAAGAGAGAAAGGGGAGGATAGAAAATGTGAGAATGAAAGAGCGTAGAAGCACTACGAAAATCGTATGATGGCGTACCAACTGATGGTTCCGGACCAACCGATCAATATACCCTTTTTTCGAGAGTGCCTTCTCTTTCTCTTGCCGTTCTCTATGCGTTTGGCGCGTCTTCCTTGCTGCCGTTCCACTCGATCTCGCACTCGAAATTTACCCTCGAGCTTTCAAAAGATGAGAGAGAGAGAGAGAGAAAGAGAGAAAGAGAAAGAGAGGGAAGGGAGGGGGGAGGAAAAAGCTAAGCGCCTTCGCTACCTCGTCGCTTTCAGGAAGAACACGCCTCCTGTCACCAACAATGGAGAAGCGGAAGAATAAAAAGACGCGAAGGACGGTCTGTGATGTGTCAGATCGTCGCGTGCGAGTAACCTGGATACACGTATCTGTCAAGATAGGAAGCATGAGCGAGCGGACCGCACGAGAGAGCAAAGACACACGGATCTCTCTCTCTCTCTCTTTCTCTCCTTTTTTCTCTTCCTTACTCTTCCGTTCTCCAAATACAGCTCTTTTTCCCCTCGCTCCTTTTCCCACGTCGAAAGAAGACAGAAGGAATCTTTTGGTTCCAGCTTTCTCACCTCACCGTACAACGCCACACGGGAATCAATACGCGCGCTCGCCTCTCTCTCTCTCTCTCTCTCTCTCTCTCTCTTTCTCTCTCGTCCTCTTACTCGCTTACCCTCTTGTTCGCGCTGCTACTTCCCTTCGTACTCGGTTTCTCCTTTTTGCACTCTCTCACTCTCTCTCTCTCTCTCTCTCTCTCTCTCCATATATATATATATATATATCGTACTCTCGTTCTTTCTCTGTCACCCGCCCTTCGCAGCCGGGTCTTTTGCTGTCCGCCTACCTCGTCCGCACGACGTTTCGCTTCCTCTCTCCCTTAGACACGCTCTTCGCGCCTATGTACGCCGGCTCCGTTGTATGTTGCTGAAGAGCGCCGTTATACCCCTGCTATTTGGTACTCGGACGGTGCGTTATCTTTGTTGTTCTTTTTCTCATCTCAAGTACAAATGTCAAACGGAGCTGTTTCTCGTGGAGAGCGACGAACGAGAGAGTACCTCTACGACGATGACCGTAGCGACGATGGACGGGAAACGTGATGATGGTGACAACACGAAAACTGCGAGCCCGTTTACTCGCTTATACAAGCACGCACGCACGCACGCACGCACAAGGCACGCACGAACGCACAGCAACGTCCGTCCATCCGACGACGATGACGCGGAAAAAGAGAACGTACGGCGCTTCGCGCGGGTTACGAGCTACCCTTGCGTTAAGGAACTGACGATCTCCGACTCGCGGGGTGCAACGCGCCCCGCCGCATAACCACGACTATACGCTCAGCCGCCGCGCGAACATGTTGAGGGCCACTACACGCACGCAAGCGCGCAGACGAGTGAGAGCAAAGGTAGCAGCGAGGTCGACGAAGCGCGGGTGGCGGCGGTAGCAGCGACGACGACCGTGCGTCGTCGTCGTCGTCGTTGTGTGTATACAGTGATGTAGGTGCGACAACGACAGATATACGCTGTTCTTCTCATTCCGCCGTTCGTCGTGAATAGGTATATTGCTGACGTTTCTCCCTCCGTCGTTCGCCGTAGCGAACCTTCGATCGCGAATTGTACCGAAAACTTTATCGATCACGCGCGTGTTCTCAGGTCCTGTGGTCTTTTAGGTCACTTGCGAGGCAGACGATGAAAGATAGAGAGAGAGAGAGAGGGGGGGGGGGAGGGGGGGGGGAGAGTCGTTGGTCTCGTACATTAAAAAAAGTTATTCTTAAAATAAAATAAAAATATATTTCATTAAATATATTTTTAATCCGGGAATAGTCTCTCTAGACTCCAGCGGTCAGAAAATTTAATCCGGAAATAGTCTCTCTAGACCCCAGCGGTCAGAAAATGAAGCTCACGTCGTAGTGGGTGCTTTTTACTAATCGGGAATCAATACCTATTTTTCATTTGGACATTTAGAGGCCTAATTTGTACAACAAAAATTGGCTGTGACCCATCTTATTCTTAATATAAGCCTGCAAAAATTCATTGGAGTACAAAACGATCTCAGGTGGCCGTTCATAAAATTAGTCAAGTATGATAAGAATTCATATTATGAATACAAAATAATAATAAATTTAAATGAGATTATATGTACCCATAGCTAGTAAACATTAAGCCATTTTTACGTTATATATGATACTAACCGATAATATAAATATTGAAAAAAATAGGCAAAAATACAATTATCAAATAACTAATATTAATATTTTATGTTTATAATTAGCATATGTATATTTAACATTAACATTTATTATAAATGAAATGAATATTTTAAACTACATTTTTTATTTAATGTTAAACATATAAAAAATACCTTTATCCTTAAAAATTTTTTGTTTTTTTAAAAATATTGTTTATGTTAAACATTATGATACATTCATATAATACAACAAAGAAGTATCAAAATAAATTATTCATATAATCCTGAATCAATATTAGTAACTCCGTGTGACCGCAATTTAGCCTTACTTTACATACTTATAAAGTGAATGTTATTTAATATATTTCCAATCTTTTTTAACAATTATTCTTTACGAACTTTTAAATATGCTATCCCATTAAAAATGCGCAATAAAGCAATATTTTTTAATATGATATTTTTATTCATTCGAAATATTGTCATAATAAGACATATAATTCGTTCCACACTGTGGAACTTAGGGTTTTAAGCAATAGTCGAAGAGACGTCTGTTCTAATGAAAACTTCGAACGATGGTGACAGCGGCGGCGGTGAACGTCGGATCAGCAGCCCTCAAAGTTTCCTTAAGCATTCACTTTAGTAGTGGGCGACCGCATAGGATATAAACAGTATACAATAATTGACACTGCGCTGTAATCGTTTATTTTGGTTCTTAAACATTTTTTTGTGTTTTCCCTCATTTTTTCCAAAAATAACGAATAAATCTATATTTATAATATCTCTAAATGATAATATATCATAAAACATTCGATAATAAGCTATATTTTGTTAATAACAGCAGTTTTTAATTGGAGTTTAAAGGACCCCAGGTTGACGTAAAAATAAGGTGACTATTCCCAGGCTAATTTAAATAAACGTTTATTAAATTTAAGAAAAAAATTCATAAATATAAAATATAATTTTTTAAATTTGTAAAATGACTTATAAAATCATGAGTTACTAGATTAAAAAATGTAATTTCATTGATTTAAAATAACCTTATATAAAATAAAGCAAATGATTTCTTCACAAAAATAAAAAGAGTTAAATAAAAAGACTTTATTGAAGTAAACATTATTGAAGTAAACACATTGCAGTAAATAATTTTTTTTTTTTTTAACATTTGTTTTTTTTGTTTTAAACGTTGCATTGCTTCTTTAAATTAATATTTTTTTCTGAAACTAAGAAACATTTCTTTTAATTAATAAAATATATTAATTTCAATTAAATCATTATTTAGTTTGGAGCATTGAAATACATCATTTGTTTAGTCAAATGAATTTTGCTTTATTTTAATAAATATTTTGTTTAGTATATGCGTGAACATTAGTGACGAGTATAAATTTGTAAAGCGATTTTCATTCAGAGATATGTGTAAAAAATTCCTACTTATTTCGCGCCGTGCGATCTTACAGTCGAAATTCTGCTCTTAATTGCTGCACGAACGGCTCCTTTCATCATCATTTGTAGACTGAATTAATAATAGTCTCTCTCTCTCTCTCTCTCTCTCTCTCTCTCAGCAATCAGATGAAAGAACTTACGTGAGGGCACCTGATTAAAAATTGTTTCACGAGAGGAGATAATGTTTTGCAACGCTCACACGTAATTCCTGATTCGCAACGCTCAAGTATCAAAGTATAATTTTCGCTCATCGCATGTAAAAAGACACGGTCGACCTCTAACAAATTTCTCCGTCCATCTGCATTTTATATAATCCGTTACAAAAGAACTCGACGTACTACATATAACGTCGAAACAATATTATTTCCATATGTGCGCAGCGGCTTAAAATTTCCGCCGTTTTCCTGGCAGAAAGTATTACAGCGCAGTGTCAATTATTGTATACTGTTTATATCCTATGAGGTCACCCACTACTAAAGTGAATGCTTAAGGAAACTTTGAGGGCTGCTGATCCGACGTTCACCGCCGCCGCTGTCACCATCGTTCGAAGTTTTCATTAGAACAGACGTCTCTTCGACTATTGCTTAAAACCCTAAGTTCCACAGTGTATATGCAAAAAATTACGACATAAAAGATTTTGTACTTTGACATAAAAGATTGTACTTTCGAAAATAAGATTGCCGAATAAGCACGAGAAATTCGAAATAGAGGCTCGTTCGAAGTGAGCCAGTAATTTACAAATGACCCGTTCCAGCTGGAACTTCACATATAAAAATACAAATCGCAGAGACGCTCTACCACGATATCGTGAACAGAAGAAAAGATCACGCGTACGCGTGATGGTTACGTGCGCTCTCAGTGTTTCTGTCAAAAGCAAGAGCGAAGCCACGCGAAACGTTGATTGCGTTCAACGAATAACACAATAATTGAGTGATTGATTTTTAGAAGATAGATATGATTGGTATATCCAACAGTAGACACTAATGGATAATTTTCATTCAAAGATTGTATAACCGTTATATTCGCTGAAAATAACCGTTGCTTTAGAGCGGAGGGATGCTTCACATGTGAGGGATTGCTTGAGAAAATCGATAACACTAGAGTCGTAGATATAAATAAAGAAGCGTTATTATGGGGATCGATGTACCGAAAGTCGCCATCTTAATTACATGGATACTTGGAACAAACGGCGAATAACGAGCTCCCAGCAACGAATAATTTGGAACAAGCGATGAATAAGAAAGAAAGGTTAACTGTCTAAGAATTTAAACTCTATTAATTTAAGTATGAATATTCTTTTCCTATTGTTACGTCCTAGGTACCTCGGGAACTGCGAATTCCTTTTTTTATATGATTGGGAGAAAGACGGACTTCGGGCAAACGCTATTGTAAAAAGGATAAGATTACGATGGCTCGCTGTTAAACGCCATGTGTTTCCCAACGCGTCTATCATCTTTTCCGCCTTCACGTAATGCACGTAGTCTTGTTACATCCTGGGTAGCCCGGGAACAACGAAACCCTTTTTCTATGATCAGGAAACAGACGAATTTGGGCAAGCGCTATTGTAAAAAAGGATAAGATTATACGCCACCAAATGCGACATGTGTTTCCCAACGCGTCTATCATCATTTTCCGCCTTCACACGTGATCGACCGGACTCAGGCCCTTCGATGGGATTAGGATCTTGGGATCTTGGGATCGTTTATGACATCCTGTTAATGTTAGAAGTTTTCCAGGCTCTCCGTTTCCCAACCATCCATATCCGTTTTCCACGAAAACTGCTCTCATTGGCGATTGTCATCTGCTACTCCCCAAAATCTTCCCTATAAAAACCTTACTCTTTGGCCACTCCAGTCAGTCATTTTCACTTCTCAACTCGCTGTCCAAATCGATCTCTCCAGAGTCAGTCAGTCAGTCAGTCAGAGTCAATCATTCAGTCACTTCTTCTTCTGCTGCTGCTCAGTAACGCGATGTGCAAGTAGGGATCTCTTAAGTGAACTATTTCTCTCGATATTCCGGGATCCCAGAAATCCGGTACACCACGATCAACGAACCCATGCTCTACTGAGATAGGAGAGTGTTGAAAGGGGAATGCAGATTTAAGTAATTGAAAGAAAATGAATGAATAATTGTAACAACTTGGTTAAATTTAGGGTATTTTAAATAAAACAGTTTATTAATTATACTAATAACATAATTTGGTTCTCACATAAATTAATAATAGTTATAAATTACTCCTATCTATTCACCACAGTTGATTCACTTAAAATAAGTAAGTCTCTATTTCATATTTAAATATGACTTTTAATCATTTCAATCCAATCTCCAATCCCACTTCACTCCTTAAGATATACACATACACTGCATAATTATTATCTTCTTTGTATTATATAATGATGTTTTTCTCGCTATATCGATACGTTAAACATTCTTGTCACATTAAATCCGATTGTATTATATTAAGTTATACAGACTACTTTTTATTTAATCTTAGTTTAATCTTCATCTTTTATTTGAATTATTCCAATAATGCTGATTTATAAAAGTTTTTTTAATGTTAACCCATATTTCTCATTGTTTAACTTTAGCTAACTGTTTCATCTTTTGAATATTGTATCTTTTACAATGACTTTCCTCATCAATTTATAACTATTATTAATTTATGTGAGAACCAAATTATGTTATTAGTATAATTAATAAACTGTTTTATTTAAAATACCCTAAATTTAACCAAGTTGTTACAATTATTCATTCATTTTCTTTCAATTACTTAAATCTGCATTCCCCTTTCAACACTCTCCTATCTCAGTAAAAAAGATTAAGTTCTTTGACCTAAATAAATGATGACCACCTAAGGTACGTTCTGCGATCGGAGTAAATGGGCCTCTCCGGATCTTGACGCAATCCGCAGACCTGCCAGAATGTTTAGACCTCGCGAATGCGCGAGTATGTTATGTTTGTTGCGTACATCCTCTTCCAGAACGTAACACTGGACAATTAATAAAATTAAATATATACATAAAATATATGTATTGGGAGTACAAATTAGTTCGGTCCGTTTTTAAAAGATGGCTCTGGCTGTTATAAATGTTTCATAGTGACAGCTGATTTCGGTGGTTTCAGAGAAGTTAGACATCTGTCAATAATATTCAGTTTATATCGCTTTGAGTTTCATACAAAACCCCTGTTTTTACTGTGTTGAATATGTCAAATTTTGTGTTAACTAAGCAGCATTTGCGGGAGGTTTTAGTTTTCTGCTTTAATTGGAAGAAAAGTGCAGCTGAAACGCATCGAATGCTTGTAGAAGTTTATAGTGACAATGCTCCAGTTGATAAATCATGTAGGGAATAGTTTCGACGTTTCAAGAATGGTGATTTCAGCGTTGAAGACTGCAACCGGGGGTTCAGCCGCATAAGGGAGCGCGGCTGACCGGGAGATCTAGGGATATCGCAGACAAAACACACACTAAGCCCAGGACCCTCAAAGCAGGGGGGCAAGTGCAACCGGAGGGTCAGCCGCGGAGAGAGGAGCGGCGGAACAAAAGACGAGGAAGGTCACCGAAACAAATGAACACGAATGCAAGGGGCGATGATGATTGGCGGAAGCCGTCGGCGAATTGGGAAGCGTCGCGGAGGGGGAAGAAGGTTTGAAATCGAAAGAAGAAGGAAAGGCGTGCAATAGCGTGGAGACGCGGGAAGCGAGAGGACGCACATTGGAGAAGAAGAGCGGAGAACTGCGCAGACGAAGTGATACGGGAGAAGTTGCTGACAAAGAAGATGTTGACGGAGGAGGGAGCTGACGGAGACGCCTTGGTGCAAATCTCTTGGTGGAGGCCCAGGAAGACGCGGGGAAACGACCGATCGCCTAGCTAAGTGCGCTGAAAAATTGCCACTGTTCCCCCTCGTAATTTTCCGTGAAAACAAAGACTTCCCGTCAGGAAACCGAGGCGTCCGGCGTGAAGTTCGATTCGAAACGCGGTACCGGTGGTTGGAACCGTACAAACAAGTTTTAAAAGAGAGAAAGAGTCTCGTCGTCGGCGGGATCAAAGGACTACCCGGTACGGTAGGCGACGCATGTTGCGTCATCCCGCCGTGCGCGCCCGATCGGGTCCCAACGTGTTCGCGACGACAGTCTTGCGTTGGAATAGATAGATCATAGTTAAGACATCCCCAAACTACGACGTGTAGGGATAAAAGTTTGATTTGTGCGGCGTAGCGGTGAGATCGGAAAATTAATTATAGAAGACTCGATCATTAAGTTCATAGGATTTGTGGATCAATATTTTTTGTTATTGCTTTATTTTTCCGCTAAATAGACTTAATCTTAGTTACTCTCACGGGGTACGTGTTCATTTTTTCGTGTTTCCTTATCCCCATACCCTGAGACGAGCGTCCGGTGATCCGAACATCTCTTCGGGGACGACAACTTTAGCAGGGAGGGAATTATCCCCCATCAGTAAAGGCGTACCTGGGGAGACTTGGCCGGTCCAGCTTCCTGGGCCTGGAGTTTGGGCGAAGCTCTCAAAAATAACGCCCTGGCGACCGTGGACGGGCAACGGGATCCGTGGGGAACTTTCCTTCTCAAGGTTCGGCGGGATTAAACGTTGATTATTTCACTAAGCTAGTGACATCTGGTCACATTATAAAATTGTAACGTCCGAACTTATTTTGAAACATTAATAATATATTAGTATAGATCGGAGGCCGACTTGTCTGATTTCAGATATCACTAGGTTAGATATTCACCAGGTATAGATATTTTATCCCTATGTTACTAGATGTAAGTACGTGCGCATATGTATATTCGCGCATGTTAAATATTATAATTAAAATTATAACGCCAAAGAAACAACGTGTCGTTAGAGAGTCTTAAAACCGATGGATCAACTATAGACAAGATAAACCGTAATCTCTCAATGCGATAAGGCGTCCCGCTGCTAATATAAACAGGAGCATGAAACTTAAATCCAAACACCACTCAGGACCGACGCAGCGATATCAATACGGTGACATCATACCGATGGAATGAATTTCTTCCATCTCCACGACTCCATCAGCCAACCAGAAAACGACTCTCAGCGACAAAGCGACGTATAAAAACGCGCGCATTTGTTGAGAAGGCGATTATTTTCTCGTAATTAACTTTTGATACTCGTGTACTTATACATTTTGGAATATATTAGTTGTAAAATCCAACTGTGTAGCAATTATTTTTATCTACCCTTCATTTCTTGAACGTTGCGAAATCGAAATTCGGAATCGCGGGCCGCATCATCCCGCGCAGCACCGGAACGTCCGAGACCGAGCCAGGAGAACGAGCGGTTCTGCTTTCTTGCCAGATTTATCAATCGTTTCGCCAGACTCCGGAGACCCAGGGTAAACTCGATGAAAAGCAAAGTGACCCAAAAGCGGAATCATCACCCTGTTGACCGTCCACGTAAGTCACTGATTTTACTACTTTCAAATTTCAATATATAGTTATTTATCGGGTACGTAACACATGATATGTCTGTTCGTTTTCGCTGTATCACTGAACTAATGCAATAAGTTGAAGTGAGACGAGTACAAGGTGTGTTCATCAAATAACGGGAATTTTTTAATTTCGCGGGTTTGGAGATCCGATCGTCAAAATTTTTTTTTATTATGTTGGTATACATGCCCCTGAAATATGATAAAATTTTCAGCTGTATTCATTGTTTACTTTGTCTGTAGCAGCCGCTAAGGTTAGACGTGTTTTTATGAACTCGGCGATTTTCGTTTGTTAAAAGAAATGGATCAAAGAATTTGTATCAAATTTTGCGTAAAAAATGAAATAAAGTGTAACAAAATGTGTGAAATGTTAACAAAGGCCTATGGTGAGTCTGCTATGAGTAAAACAAGAGTTTACGAGTGGTATAAGCGTTTCCACGATGGCCGTGAAGACGTTGAAGATGACGAACGCACCGGACGCCCCAACACATCAACAACCGATGAAAACGTGGAAAAAGTGAAAGAAATAGTTATAAACGATCGCCGAATTACAATCAGAGAAGTCGCTGATGATGCTGGCATATCGATTGGCTCATGCCATGAAATTTTTTCGAATGTTTTGGGTATGAAACGCGTGGCAGCAAAATTTGTTCCAAAATTGTTGAATTTTGAACAAAAACAGCGGCGAATGGAAGTTGCTCAAGAGTCACTAAATGAAATCAACGACGATGCAGAATTACTGAAACGTGTTATAACAGGTGGCGAAACATGGGTTTACGGATATGACGTCGAAACTAAGGCTGAATCGTCCCAGTGGAGGCATTCTGGCTCGCCAAGACCGAAAAAGGCTCGACAAATGCGGTCGAACGTGAAGGTTATGCTCACTTTGTTCTTCGATTTTAATGGCATAGTGCATCATGAATTCTTGCCACGAGATCAAACGGTCAATAAGGAGTGCTACCTACAAGTTCAACGCCGTTTGCGTTGAAGTAATCCGAAAAAAAACGCCCGGATTTGTGGAAAAACAATTCATGGCTTTTGCACCACGATAATGCACCTGCTCACACTTCATTGCTTCTTCGTGAATTTTTGGCCAAAAACAATACTGTAACGATGCCCCAGCTTCCATCCGCCAGACATGGCTCCGTGTAACTTTTTCCTATTTCCAAAAATAAAGAGAACCTTAAAGGGCCGTCGTTTTACAAGCATAGATGACATTAAAAGCGCATCGCTGAAAGAGCTAAAGGCTATCCCAAAGATCGAGTTTGAGAAGTGTTTCGAGGATTGGAAGAAGCGCTGGCACAAGTGCATAATATCTAATGGGGACTATTTTGAAGGCGACAACATTAATGTAGACGAATAAATAAATATTTTTTTCAAAAAACGAAAATTCCTGTTATTTTCTGAACATACCTCGTATATGTTTTCTCACTTTACTTATTGCACTAGTTCAGCGGTGCCGCGAAAACGAACAGACTTACTATGTCTATGGTGACACCGCACTAGTCTACTCGCAATTTCCCCTAATAGAGTCGCCGTCTAGCAGCTCCGCCGCGTCATCTCTACCTGCCACGGCGAGGCTTCTTCATACGCCTATAGTGCCATCTATTCATTGGTGCAGTGAGTTTGTCCCGCGAGTTTGACGGTGCCTCTGTGACGACGCACGTGTGTTGCAAATCTGTTCAGGTTGCTCGTTTTTTGCGTACAAGTAAGTAATATTTGTAAATTTTGTCATCTAGAAAATCACACATACGCCGATGTTTCCAAGCGTCATACGATCATGAACGTGCACGATAAATTCGCGAGCGTTACCAAGTCTTGTCAATTGCCGAAGTGGGTTTTCGTTAGCCTCTCTCGCTCCCTCTCGCAACGATCGTTTCTCGTATCGTGGCCGTTTAAAGAGGATTCTTTATGTTCTCGCGTTGCTGCCAGCGTTCACCTTCTGGCACGCACGTGCAACGTGTGAATTCCTATAACCTGTGCCTTATATAATGCGTGCAGAAATTTTGCAATGTGGCGAATCCTTCCTGGAAGCTATAATAACGGTTGTTGAACGTAGTAGGTATAAAAAGTGCGATGCCTTCTGACGCGAAGAAAAAGCAGCAACAGAAGAAGAAAGAAGCCGCGAAGGCCCGACAATCCGGCAAGAAACCGCAGAACAACAATCAGACTAAGGCAGCTGAGGATGACAAAGAGCAGAGCCCGATATTGAGTGATCTGCAAAATGGTACGAATGGAACAGCTATCAGTGCTGAAGGTGAGCAAGAAAGAGATACAGAGATAGAGAAAGGTCAAGAGGAAATTGGATATTGGACATTGTCATTAGATACTTTCAGCTTTCTTAAATCATTATCCAAGATATTAATTTGGGTGTTAGTTCTCTTTTCTTTATAATAATGCTTAAGATATCTGCAAATTTCTTTGATGTTATAATATAATGTAATATTTACAGAAAGATAGAAAAGTTTCAAATATTTCGCTACTCAAATACTTTCTTATTTCTATACTGGATGTTACAAAAAAAATAAACTGGATACACATAGCTATATATAGGATATATCAATGCGAACACACAAAATAATTTATTTTAACAATACCTAAAATATCATTTGATAAATTAAAGCTATGTCAAAATTACGAAAAGAATTTTTGTGTTATCATAATAGGTATTAGTATTAATGTTTAATTTATTTGATCTCATATAGTAATAATCATTGGCTTATTAACAGAGATGATTATAGGATATGTTAATACACAAATTAAAAAATTCCTACAAACATAATGTCTAAAAAGCTATGTTATTCTATAACAGGTTGTATCATGTCACGTATCAAGTTTTGTTTCTTGTTGACAAATTTGTCACTATTATTTGTCATTTCTGTAAAGTGCCAATTGTTTAAGAATAGAGAACTATTCTTTTACAGAAATGCGACATGCACTTGGTATATGACTTGGTAAATGGCAATCAGAAACTAGACGACTTTTCAAATCGATGTTTGCCTAATAGAAAAAAAAAGAAATTTGAATGAATTTATTTTTATTTACAAGAAATTGAATCTTCTTTAAATCTTTTTTTTTTAATTCTTTCAACTTAAGATAGGATGGCTGTGCATCACAAAGACAATAGACTTTGAAGTACAAGTATTGGCTCATATTGAATAGGATCCAGGTGATAGTACCAAAAGAATTGCTTTGGAAAAAGCTATTAGTATTGCTACTGTTTGGTGGACATTAAGAAATTTGATATTGTTGTTTTTAGCTGCACTGCTGAACATTAAGTTAGAGCAAGACAAAATATACTTGTCTTAATCTAAGTTATTGCACCAGTTCAGCCGTGCAGCGAAAAAAAACAAATCTATTATACCAGTACCATTTACAAAAAGTTTAAGCATTACATGAAAATGAGTGTTCTCAAAAGCCTTCTGCATTTGATTGAATGATGTGGTAATGATCATCTATTTTTATTATCCATTCTTTTCACTGATTAAACTGGATTTGCTAGAATTAGAATAACAAATTTTCGTAACATATATTCTTAGGTTGATGAAAATTCACATTTCATTTTTCAATTAAGACAACAGCATGAATTTTCCACAATGTTTCCAAATGTTTGAGTTGGAATCATTGGGACTTCTCAATTTGTGTTACCTCAAAAGCTTAATAGAGAATGATATCATAATTTTTTAGACAATGATCTTCCAAACCTATTATATGATATTTTATTCGATTTAAGAACATTTATATACGATGATGCATAACTTTACGTTTTAGTCGAGATTCAAGACAATTTTTAAACACTGCATATCTTAAGCGATGAAGGGTCCTCGCCTCATAATGATTTTCAATTATGATTCATACGCTTACTCGATTTAGATCTTATTGATTTCTATTTGTGGGACCACTTGAAGACAATTGTTAACTCAGCTCAAATTTCCAATGAAAAATAGCTTCTATAAAGAATAGAAGATGATTGTCAAAGAATATGAACTACACTAGAAATATTTGAAAAAATATATGAGAGTCTATAATTCGAAAAATCCAACCTTATTTTGTTTTTCACAGTTGACATTTTGAACATTTCTTTTAACATTTTGTTTCTTATATTCATTTGACTACTACGATACCTGACATGATAGGACTTACTGCAGAATAGCAACAGAGTATTTTAGAGAACATATTTATGAGAATTTTTTGGTTTGTATTGATATATCTTACATTCATTTATATTAATAAATCAGCGCTTATTATTATAAGGTATAGATATTATTATAAGACAATAAAGTAAGCATTAAAACTAGTACTTACTATGACAACGTAAAAATTTTTGTAATCTTGTCCTTAACTCGTCAATAAAATATTTTAGATACTATATGAGCTTTTTTGTTTGCATTAATATATTCTCCATATTTACATATAGCTAGTCTATCTTTTTAGAAACACTCTATTTATTTTTTATAAGAACTTGTAATTTTCTTTTTAAAATTTAAAAAATATTTTTGTTCTTAATGGTGTAGAAAAATTAATGCATTTTTAATTTTGATATTTTTTAAATATTTTAAGAGATTGTTTTTCTTTATAGTACAGTGTTTTCGAATATCAATGTTTAAAAAAAAATCAATATTCGAGTAACATCTAACTGAAATCGCAATATTTAGCATTTGTAATAATTGATATTTTATACATATTTTGTATCCTGTATACGTTTTAAAAATTTTTTGCCATCACTTTGCACTTGCAAAAAATGCTTACTTTATTAAACACTTGTTAACATACATATAATGACGTATATTTGCAGAGGCATTATGTTTGAAATTGGAAGCAGACGCCAGACTGAATGCAGAGGCACGTTCGTGCACCGGGTCATTAGCTTCGCATCCGCGTAGTCGAGACATAAAGATATCGAACTTTTCTATTACTTTCCATGGCTGTGAATTGCTACAGGACACCATGTTGGAGTTGAATTGTGGCAGGCGTTATGGTTTACTAGGTCTAAACGGCTCTGGAAAGTCTACACTGTTGGCAGTATTAGGCAACCGCGAAGTTCCTATTCCGGAGCAAATAGATATTTTTCATTTGACTAGAGAAATGCCCGCAAGCAATAAGACAGCATTAGAGTGTGTGATGGAGGTTGACGAGGAACGGGTGCGACTGGAGAAACTCGCCGAAGAATTAGTGGATTGCGAAGAGGAAGATGCTCAGGTCTGTATTTTTTGTTTCTTTTGTTCTGTTCTTTACACACACATACACGACTGTCAAGAGTTTGAAATTTATCGATAGAGGAATACTTGTGTAAAAATTTACTAATTTAATATAATACGTATACTAATTTAATATAATAAAATACGTAGGAACAACTCATGGATGTATACGAGAGATTAGATGATATGGCTGCCGACACGGCGGAAGCTCGTGCCGCTCACATTTTGCACGGTCTTGGTTTCACTGCAAAAATGCAAAGAACACCTACCAAAGACTTCTCAGGAGGTTGGAGAATGCGTATCGCTCTCGCTAGGTATATAGAAACTTTAAAGAAACCTTTGGCTAATATAATATTTCATTTGCACGAGTTCGTTGGATGCACCGATTGGTTGTCAAATAGAGGATTTCTAGGGTGCCCAAAGACAATGTTCAAAATTTAATAATTGATTGATTTATTTACAGCAAAAATCTATTTAGAAAAGAAAGATTCAAAATAACCTGAATTATCAAATAATTACCAATTATAAGATTAAACTATATAACATTGCGCAATGTTTTAGAATTATAAACAAAGGAAGGGGGGCATTATCAGATTGTTGTCTTATCTACAAATTCATGCTGACATTATTGATTGCTTAAAATTAATGCTTTATCTAATAGCCAACCAACACATCCGACAATACTTGTCGCACAACAAATGAAACATTAGCCTAAAAGAACATTTTCAATTAATTTTTGATATTTCACTGCTCTCAATATATAAAATATTTACATACGACTTTCTTCGCAGAGCGTTGTATGTAAAGCCACATCTCTTGTTACTCGACGAGCCAACCAATCATCTCGATCTAGATGCTTGCGTATGGTTGGAAGAAGAATTAAAAACCTATAAACGAATTCTCGTTATAATCTCCCACTCTCAAGATTTCCTCAATGGCATCTGCACCAATATCATTCACGTCAACAAGAAGCAATTGAAATATTACACCGGTAATTACGAAGCGTTCGTGAAGACACGGTAAGCTGCGGGAAATACTCCATCTGATAAATTGTATTTTGTCATAACGTTAATTATGATATTAAACTTTCCGATCAGAATGGAGTTACTTGAGAATCAAGCGAAACAGTACAATTGGGAACAAGACCAAATCGCACACATGAAGAACTATATTGCGCGATTCGGTCACGGTTCAGCGAAACTGGCAAGACAGGCTCAGTCGAAGGAAAAGACCCTGGCGAAAATGGTAGCGCAAGGTCTGACGGAGAAAGTCGTCAACGATAAAGTGCTGAACTTCTATTTCCCATCATGCGGAACGATTCCGCCACCAGTTATCATGGTTCAAAATGTCAGTTTCCGCTACAATGAAGATTCGCCTTGGATCTACAAGAATCTCGAATTCGGGATCGATTTAGATACTAGAATCGCGCTGGTTGGACCGAACGGTGCAGGGAAGAGTACATTGCTAAAGCTGTTATATGGTGATGTATGTTACAAATATGTATATTCCGCCGATAAAGATAGTCTTTGATGTTCCTGAGAATCGATTTTATATCTCAAAATATGATAAGAATTGCAAAAATGAACTCCCATTTGATTAGATAACTTTTACCATGAAAATGCAATATATCTCGAATGAAATTGTTTGACAAGTAATTTCGTATCGAATGACATCAAACAGTGTCGTAGAGATATCATATTCTCACTTTGCATCCAATCGTATGTATTTATTTAGGCGAAAATATAAAAGATTTAAAAAGTTGATGAAGAATCACAATCGTTCTCCAGGTCTTTTGCTGCAGTCGTTTTGTTTCATGACGTTAGAAATGAAGAAACGTATGTCCAAAATTCTTGCGAAGTATATTAAAATAAAAGGATACAGCCATAAAATGACACTTGTAATCGATCGAGATCACATTTGTAAAATATTTTAAAAACTTTCCTTTTGCTCTAACATTCAATAAATAACCGTAAAATTAACATTACATATAATCTTCCTTCTTGATCTAAATATATTTTTTATAATATATCTCATATAATATATCTTTTTTATAAGATTATCTTTTCTCATAATTTGTATTTTAGATAAATTATCTTATAATTTTGTCACATTAATTTTATAATTGTTGAGATTGTTAAATTAAGAGAAGTTTTTTAGATATTTTACAAATATAATTCTTTCAATCGACTATAAATGACATTTTATAAATATATCTTTTTATTTCAATATAAAATTTTAGGCATACATTTTTCTCGCTTCTGATGTCATTAATCAAAATGGCTGCAACGAGAAAAGAGCCTTAACTTCTTTCTTGACTAAACTACGTGGCATTACAGTTAGTGCCGACAAGTGGGATGATTCGCAAGAATAGTCATCTCCGAATAGGTAGATATCACCAGCACTTGCATGAGTTGTTGGACTTGGATGTGTCACCCCTTGACTACATGATGAATGCTTTTCCCGATGTCAAAGAGCGTGAAGAAATGCGGAAGATCATTGGTCGTTATGGTTTAACCGGACGTCAGCAGGTATAATTTATCAATCAGTTATTTATCTTTATGCATTTACATCTGTGAGTGAACAATCATATTTGGAAATAGCCAACATATGAAAGTATACCGTTACTAAATTGTATTTTATTTAGATTTGCCCTATTCGCCAATTATCTGACGGCCAACGTTGTCGGGTCGTGTTCGCCTGGTTGGCTTGGCAAGTGCCTCATCTATTGCTACTTGATGAACCTACCAATCATTTGGACATGGAAACGATTGATGCGCTTGCCGACGCCATTAACGACTTCGACGGTGGCATGGTTCTTGTCTCGCACGACTTCAGATTAATTAATCAGGTGTGTGTGAATTGATCTTGACACATTCGTTACCAGTGTCACACCAGTTCCTCACCAGAGACCAGTGTCACACGTGTCAAATATTCAATTTACCTATTTAATAATTTTTATGTGTATATAAGTGTAAACATATATCATTCGTTAGCATATTTATTTTTTGTTGCTTAGTTTGACAAACTAAGTTCGTAAAACCCATTTTCTGATATTGCCTCACTTAAATATCTATAAATATGCCAATCTACGTATGCCCACACATAGAGTACAGACATTATAGTTTTGTGAGTGCATAAAAAGGAGTACATAAATTTGAAAAATTTGTCGCATTGTAAATGCTTACTAACTATTATTTCTGATTAGTACATTCTCCTGGTCTTATCAAGTATCTAAATAGATATTCCAGTCACAGATAGTAATCACTAGGTACTTATTGAGTTACTTTTTCTGTTGAACGTAGGCAATATATTGATTTCACACAGAAAAAAAATTTGGTATACCTTAAAAAAATAATTCTATGTTAAAACTTGGTTATCTTCAGCAGCCATATTTATTGTATGATAGGCGAAATATAACAGGCAATAAATTTTTTACGGCATATATTATGACATAAATTTATTTTTTAGTTTTTCCTAAAAAACTATAATTTCATAATCTTGAAACTTATAAAATATACAGCAGATTGGTAGCGAATTCGATTATCAACACTATACTGTACCAGATTGGTGTATACTGAAGGCTGGTATACATAAAACACAGTTATTAAAAAGGCATATAAATAACATATTTGAACGATTAAGTACCTAATAATATTGTCACTTATTATCATTTATTAAACAGAATATTAATTATTTCGTCATCAGTGTTTATATTATGCCATTATATATAGATATTTGATGTGTAGCCTTCAGTATGCATTAATCCAATGTAATGCGAATAATCGGATATAACAGATCTGTCTGATATGCATGTAGAGTCGCAAAATAATTCTTAAAATAATGGTACATTTTGTGATTTTACGTGACACATCAGACTGGCATTTCTGTTTGTTGCATATTTTACAGATTTCAAGATTATGAGACTTATGTTTTTCAGGCAAAAGTGAAAAAATAAATCTATATGTCGCAAATTAATATCCGACCCAAATCGAAAACGGATATTCGGTTCTTCTTCGGTTCCAATTTGGACTGAAAATGAAACCGAGACTTTAGTGAAAGTTTTACAAAAAATTAACTCTCTAATAACAAGGTTCGGCCTCGCAGTTAATTTATTTTATAGTACGCATGCGCTGTTTCCTTTAAAGATATTCTACAATGAGTCACAAATGTCCCGTCGCCAATCGCGAAACATGGCAACTATTAATTACAAAGTACTAGTTTGGGTTGCAATGAGGTCTTTTGCCAGTTGTTGTCGCCAAGAAGTTAAAAATTGCGCAACTCTCATTTAGCGACCGCTACTGTCTATTGCAATCGAAAATGCATTTTGTAATTAGTAGTTGCTATCTATCGCGACTTGTGACGAGACATATCTTTTAGAATCCTTTATTGCTTATGGCTTATAGTCCATGTGTGAAGAACAAAGTATTACAGCTTATGCATGTTTTACGATCGGTTGAATAGTTCTACATGTTCCTTTATTGGCTAATTCTTACAGTACGTCTTATGTTTACGGTTACGACAATTCATGTATGAAGTGTGTGAAAGCTTTTAAGGTGGCTAAAAAACAAATGAAAGATAGGTTAGCCGTGACTATGTAATTTTTAAAGATATTCTGCAATATACTTTTCTGCAAATATACTTTTTAACTAATAGCTTCTATCCTTCGCGATTGGCCATTTATGACGCATTGTAGAATGTCCTTAAGTCTTAAGAACGTGCGTGGTCAGACAGCTATCAAAATGAGATATTTATATATCAAAATTACACACACACGTGTGTGTGTGTGTGTGTGTGTGTGTGTGTGGTTTAATGGCATCTGACTATTTACTACACATGTTTATAAATCATAAGTTCGCTTCGTCGTATTTTTTGTGTCTCAAAATATGTAAAAAGACTGTTGCAACCGTCCTGTGACCGGCTATAATTATAAACGTGTGAAGAAAATCTTTTAAGAAAAGCTACTTAAAAAAAAATGAAAAAAAAACATTGGCCAACCCAATATAACGTGGACTACAAAGAACGATTATTAACTTAAGAGCGGTAACGAATGTGTGTGTGTGTTAACATACACAAATTTTTGAGAATTTGTTTTATTACAAGAAAATTAATCTGATGTGTTCCTTTTCTCAATTTAGGTTGCTGAGGAAATTTGGGTGTGTGAAAACGGAACAGTTACAAAATGGAGTGGAAACATTTTGGATTACAAGGAACACCTGAAAAACAAGGTTCTCTCTGACAACCAGAAAAGGCAAAAAGATCTCGCGAACAGAGGCAAATAATGTGACCAGCGTTTCGATCGTGATTCGCTGCATTTTCCTCTTTTTACTGCACCATACGTCTCGATTATAGGAATTTATTCGGAAAATCGCATCAGGCTGAACACCGAATGCACGCTGCTATGTAGTGTGTTGGTGTAATGGTCAGATTGCTTAGTTAATTTATTGAAGTATTAGAGGTTGAAATTATCCTCCATCCTTCTATCAAACCGCAGATGATCGTATTGTGGCATTTTTCGCTAAATATAAATCTAGAGTCTCTCGAAAGAATCATGTCACACGAAAGTGCAGATTAAATTTAAGTAGATCGTCGAGGAAGGCACGAGAATTAAGCAGTTCATGGACCATTTAAAGAGAAAACTAGTAACATTTAACAAGTAACGATTCTTTTATGGTCAACTTTATTATAAATTTCTTCTTTTAGTCTATATAATAATTTGATTTTCTCTTACAAGAATATAAAATATTATTGTAACATGTACAAACATACGCAAGTACGATCGATTACATAGTTCCAAAATACATTTTTACCTATATGTGTGTGTGTGTGTGTGTGTGTATATGTATATATATATATATATATATATATATATATATATATAACTAATATATTAATATGGAAGACCACCGTTTCTGCATATATCTCCGCATTGCGAAAGATCATTCATTAGACGTTTCAAAAATAATCATCTGAATAATCCTCACGCGACATACTTTCGATGTGTGTCGTGACGAGGAATTTAATGTATACAATTTTTATAACAACGATAATCGACACGAAATATTTGACGACTTTCCTTGCATGAGTGATCCGGAATTTACACACGTTGAAATTCTGTGTCTTGAGATCAGTGATAACCCATATTCACGTTATCAGTCAATAAGCATGGCATAATACATATACATGTCTTGACGGGAATAAAATACACCAGAATGTATATAAGGTGTTTTGTGATGAAACCGACAAACTTCTAGAATGTATTCTAGAAGTAACTCTAAATAAAAAAGTTTGGATATATTTTAAGTAAATTCGGTTCAGTCAGTTATCGGATGTAGACAATTTTATTAATATTGTAACTGATGAAAAATTCTAGACAATTCTTATTAGGTGAATATTATTCTTTATTATTATTCTTCTAGTTCTGCTATTTGTTCAAAATATGTGTCTAGTTACTTTTCAACATGCTACTTCTCGTATTATGGATCTTCGCTAATTAATTTTCTTAAATTCAATGCAAATATTATCTTGGCCTCTGTTATTCTGTCGACTAACTATTGACGGATTTCTAATTTACCGCCATTGTAAATTTCAAACAATCCCACAAAAAGAAGTCCAGAGCAAGACAGGACCGTTGTCGTTAAGAAATTTACGTTGCTGACAAGAATTAAATTTTTTATATCTCAATATCTGAGCCGAATTGACCTGTAGTGTATCTGAACGTTTTTATTTAGAATGGCCTCTGTAATATATTCTAAAAGTTTATCGGTTTCCTCAAGGAACACTATATATACACATGTATTTAACATATATACTACATTTGTGCGAATCTAGCAACTGTATTATATATATAGTTCTCGCTGCAGCCACGAATATTGTATTATTCAGAACCGTATAAAGGACATCGATAAACTGAAGATTATATACGAAGATCTTACAAGAGATTTGATTGCTCTCGAAATTGACTTGCGAAACAAATTCAGACCGGCGTCGAGGCCGGAATGGAGCAGGCTACTTCCTGTGCCAACGCAGCATTCCTCAGCACTAGCAAATGCGTGTCCATGTCATTAAGAGCTTGATCGATGAACGCCAGCTTCCTAGCCTGGCTCTTCGGTACGCCGTGCTTCGTCACCAATGCTAAGTGGGTCACCGCCAGTACTAAAGCCGCCACTCTAGCCTCTAGTAGCCTGGCATCCAATGGTGGATACAAACTGCGCACGACGTCGTCGACACGAGGCGGTATACGTCGTGCAACCTATGCGAGGAAAAGTGTGAGCAAAGTTGTGAAAATATCAATTGAATTCTCCTCAACTTAATTGATTTGAACTAATATGATTCGATTCAACTAACGAGCGGTTGATTTTAACGAATTCAATTAAATTTAATCATTTAATTGACGATTAGTATGGATGAAAGGAATAAAAAATCGTTCGATTAAGCATTGAATTTGACAAATTTAATTAAAGGCTGTCTGATTCACGATTGATATAAGCAAGTTCAACTTAAAATCGTTCGATAACGATTTCTAAAATTATTGTGAACAAGAGCAACTCCAGCACACGAGAAAGTTGTAAATTTGATAAAATAAACGGTCTTTGATTCCCTTTGCTCATATCAATCATCAATTAAACGTCTTTAAATTGGTTCATATTAATTATCAACATTAAACATGGTAATTAAAAAAATAATTATTCGCAACCTCGAGTGTGAATAATACAAATGATTGATAAAGTTAAGATGAGGAATTTTGTTAGAAATGGCAAATGTGTTTCTGAGAAATTTTGTTCGGAAAATCAGTTGACCCGGGAATTCCGGGGAAGCTATTTGAGCTGTGTTCTAATATTCACTACTAGAACTGAAAATCTATAATATACGCAATATGAAATCTTCAATACTGATAATGAATATCGGAACGCAGTTTTGGTAGGTGACGTCGATGGTGGTTGACTGTGGTGACGTTGTGTTAACACGTTCATTGCCAATCACGCGATATCGTGATGCGAGTTCTCACCAAATGGCCGATCACGCGTTATCGCGTAATAGATATTTAGAGTACATAAATCCTATGTACATAATAATAAAAGCATATAAATAATATATTATCTTATTTTGAGCACAATAAAAACTAAATAAAAAAATTTTTTTAATACGAAATTCCAATTTTCGGCTTGGCAATGAATGTGTTAATAGATGCCTTTTCATGCTGACGCCCATTTTTAACGTTAAAACAAGTCGCGTGATCAAAGTTGCCGCTTCAGATAGCAAGAAACGCTTAAAAAGGATATAACAACGACAAATTTTGAACATTACGGCATGAGTCCCGCATAGATTCTTTCTAAGAAATATCATTTTGGGGTAAATATTATAACGTGGTTAAGAGACTATAGAGAAAAAATAATAGAACATAATAAGTAGCGCAAAACTTTAGAGTATTCATAGTGGCAGCTCACGTTACATAACGCACCGATGAAGTAACATTAACAGGACTTTCAGCCCTGCGTAAATTTTCGTACGATGGTAGAGGCTCTGAAAGGTTTGGAGATAATTAAAGAAGGATGGCATCATTCAACCATTTTTAGTTTTTTTAGTTTCCCGATATAAATATCTGAAAGGAGGAGGAAAGGATCAAGGTGTAATAAGAGTATTCATTTTATTATTTACGGTTACTCTCTTTTCGATGTTTTATCGATACCCTAATATTCTTAGAATATTATATGAATAAATATTAAAATGATATTCTTATAATATTCTATTAATGTTATATGTCCACTTTACTCAATATTTTTGACATATAATAAAAATGTTTTTAGGATATTAAAAAGAAATTATATATATATATATATATATATACATATATAGGGTGTCTGGTATGTTTCATATATCCGTGCATGTGCAGATAAAAAGGGTTAAACTAATAGAAAAGGTAGACACCCTTATACAAAATTCGCAATAATTAACGAGGAATTAATTATTCTGTCTAATGAGCGCATGAGAAGCAGGAGGGGGGGGGAGGGAGAGAGAGAGAGAGAGAGAGAGAGAGAGAGAGTTAAATATTTAAGAAATATATTACAATAATATTAAATAATATTATTTTTTAAATATTATTAGGAGTGGACATATAACCATCTATTAATATTCCACAAATACTACTTAATATTCAATAATATTATGTGCTTATAGAGTATATATACAGACCTACAATAAAGTATATTAAATATTTTTATGAAACTGCATTTCTGCAGTTATCATTTACGTTGATTTAACACAAATTTACCAACAAATTTGTCGATTATTAAAGAAGATTATTAATTAGCGAAATTTTCTTATACATCAAATTCCATAAAGCCAATGGTTTTTAGTATTATCTCATCAGTATGTGATGCTAGATGCGATCTAACCTCTATTCTTTGACGCTAGCGTCAATATGATGTCACATAACTATGCTCGATGTTAGTTTCAACATTCCATAAATTTGCACCTTTTGTGTTTTTATGTACTTGGCATCGCGATACTACCACTTTGCTTTATTAAGTGATAACCATTGAACTATATCCACACTAGAACAATAATTCTCGAGCAGTCAGAAAGAAATAGTTGAGTAGGGACAGTGTCTAACCAATTCGAGATGTCACGTGACTCGATGTATTACCTACCCTGAAAACATTTACTTCCGCACACATTTTCCACACATCAAAACAGTATTTATATATAGGAAAGAATAAATAACACTTTGTGGAATCAATAAATATATAAATATCTAGTCATTACTTATGGAATGACGCATCTGGCATGATATCCATTTTACTCAAAATGTGTCATCCAGCATCGCTTTTTCATTGTCTTATTTGATATATCATTCAAACGGCACATACGTACACATACAGAACTGATATTTTTAGTCATAGTAATTTACGCTACAAAGAGGCAACGACGTTCCCATTCTACTATCTCTCTCTAACTGTTTAGTACAATGGAGGGAGTAGGCAGTGTTCCTTCCATTAGTTATAATTCAATGGTGATAACCATGTCAAGACATAGACGACATGGTGGACGACGATGGTCTTACTTACGTCTACTATTTCCAAAGGCACAGTATTACTATTGACAGTCCCAGCAATAGCTGTAAGACTAGCTGCCAGAGTATGACAAGATCGCAGCACTGCTATACAAGGTGGAGCCAGGCCAGTAGCATCATCCACCCATCTGTAACATAAGAATACCATCTCTATCATAAAATGATTTGTAAAACTTCAAGTGAAGAATGCAAACACTGACCTGTCTATTTAATAGCTAATTTGATTATCCCTACTATATCAGATTAGTGTACACTAAAGGCTCCTACACGGGAAGTATTCAAATATGACACAAGCCCTTTAATGATAAAAATAATTTATATATATATATTTTTTTTTATAATTAACCTCTACATATATATAAATATATATTCTGCTAATTATAAGATGTCAATATCATTATTAGGAATTTAATTGTTCAAAACATATGCTTTTTGATTTAAATAAGTGCTTCATGTTTAGCAGTCTTCTTTAGCATTAATTTGATATAGTGCAGGTGATCAAATGTACTACTATAAGTTCTACAGTTTACATCAACTTAATTTCTATAAGAATATATCTCGGAACACTTAGACGAAGTAAAAATCAGAAAAGAAGCAAGATATTACTGATATTCTTCTTAGTCCTATTGCCTGTGGCCAGGCACACTGATTATACACAAGCATACGGGACCTACAGTTTAACGCCAGTTCCAAACAGCATATTATTTAGAGAGGTTCTCTTGACAAAGATATTCTCTCTCTGTTGATTACTGCTTCTTTCCGAGAAGAGACATGAGCGTAAACATTTTGGCTTTTACTGGGATCGAATCCAGGACCGCTAAGCATAATAGACCAATGCACTGTCTGCCACGCTCGCACTCTACTGATACACTATCAATTTGATTGTATTAGGCTAACTTCTTCATCATCCACCAAAATTTTCTTTACCTTTCAGCACCAGCCAGCCACTCTTCACTTTCCCAGACATCTAACCCCAACCCAGTAATATTTTCTCCTTCTAGCAAGTCGGAACTGAGATCTGCGGAGTCCTTCTGATTCTGTAAGTAAACAGGATCATAGTTTTCTTTAGAGTTTGGTTCTTTCTACTCGAGAATTTCATCAATTACTCACATAATAGCAGCGTTGCCTGCGACAGATAACTAAGAGTACCAAGAGCGCACCGAGAAAGACCGCTGCGAGTGCACCCAGTGCAACTGCTACCACTGTTTCCATACCAGTGGCAGTGGTTGAAGGACCAGCGTTGCTCATCGATATCGAGGAACTCATGGTGCAAATCGGTAGAAGACTGCAGGTCAACGACCTGATGAATTAAAATATTGTGACAGCCTCGCCGGGAGAACAGCGTCAATGGGATTCACGTTGACATTTGATGCGAAACGTCAACACTAGTAGTGATCGTGATCCATTCTCTCGCTGATGGCCGGTGGGAGGCGGAGACTGTCACGGGTTTTAAGTCCCGTCCACTATGCGCGAGATGAGGACGATTGGCGCAACATGCGAGCTAAGCATGAAAGCTGATTTATGCAGGACGTTAAGGCGCAAATTCATGCGATGCTAAAACTAGAATCTAGACCTAGATATCTCTTCCTCCTCCTCCTCTTAAATATATGACTCCAGGTACTCAGGAGAGTATTTCGCCCTAACGCCACTAACAATGTTTAGTTATGAAAAAATGAGGTTGTTTGCATTTCGCCAAGGCGGATGTGACTTATCCAAAAAATATGTGATTCAACGAAGAACAAAGAATCCGCAGGCTTCAGCACATGGCACACTAACACCACCCGACTGTTCTCGCGAGACTAGTTCTAGTCTTAGATAAAAGAAGCGACAGGTGCAATCGATAGATGCGATATATCGAAAGCCGCTATCTTGTTTTTTCGCATGTAACAGTAATGGTCTGTTCTTTTTAGCTGCACTGCTAAACTGGGGAAATAAGTTAGAATGCTTTCACATGCTGCGTAACTTACATAAGCGTAACTTGTGTAAACCAATCAAATCGTGTCAATTACCCAATTACCACAGCAGATTTGATTGGCTGACGCAAGTTACATTTTCTCAAGTTACGCAGTATATAAACGCACCCTTAGGACGAGACAACGGGTGCGATTGGGAAGACACTATTTGTGCTATAAACGCAAACACTAATGCTGTTCATGGGACAAATAACGTGAAAACGATAGCATGCTTCACGAACGGCATTAGCGTAGCGTTAGCATTTGGTCTATTCTTTTTAGCAGCTGCACTGCTAAACTAGTTCAATAAGTTAGAATAAAACAAGTTTATTTTGTCTTGTTCCCCATTCCCACTGGGATATTAGGAATGATATTTGCTCCCTTATTTTAGGTCCACCTGCTTCATAGGCGCTACTTGGAATGTGAGAGGGTAGGGGTGTTGGGGTAGAAATACGAATGTAGCGAAGAGTTAAGCGAAGAACAATGAAGACACAACCAAATTTGCGTAAATATACGATAGCATGTGTTTATTATAGTTATTAAAAAATTATAAAGAAAATATATGCGTAAATTGTGTATTTATAATATAATAAATGTATATGTGTATTATTGTGGCGGCTATACTCTGTCTCGCTTGCATGCGAGCTCGCCCCCCACCACTTCGCCGGCGAGTTAGTCTTTTGTCGCTGTACAGCAGTAAAATAGTGGAGACTAGCCCGCCGTTAGAGCTGCATCGTTATAGTGTTTCTCTACGCAATAAAAGAGTCTTTCTTATTCTTTATGCCGAGTTCTCAGTGGACACATGTCTTGATTCTTCCCGGGCTATCCCTTCTAATTTCCATATTATCTCAAGCAGCACGTAAACGTTCGAGGAACGTTCGCTTTACGTGCTACATGGGAATATGATTCCTTGTATATTTTTTATATTGACCAAAGTGTTCTTATGCTATACAGAATATTCCAATAATAATAACAATAATGCAATAACTGCATGCAAGAAACGAAAAATCATAAAATTTATTGCATGTGAAATGTTTTTGAAACCGCTCAATTAAAAAATTGGCAAAATTGTTTCATATGAAACGTTACTAAGATAACTCAATTGAAAGTTTTCAAATTCATTGCATGTGATACATTTCAGAAACACCTCAACTAAAATGTTTGTAAAATCATTTTATGTGAAACGTTTCAGAAATAACATAACTGAAAGTTTTGGAAAATGATCTTCATGTAAAAAGTTTCAAAAACATTCATGTTGCAACATTTCAAATAACATATTGCTAAATTCTTTTAGAAATGTTGCGAATGAAATTTAAATGGTTGAAAGGATTTTGAAATATTTCTGAATGCTTTCTGCAACAATCGGTACTATATGGGCTTTTCGTATCTTCTGTGGCTACAGAGCATGCTCATGTCGCTACATGTCATTGATATGACAGGTTTCCCAACCTGTCAAATCGTTTTAACTTTAACAATTAATATCTTGATTCACGGGGTAGAGCGACGCTTTGTCTGCCAGATTCTTTTGTTTTGTATAAAAACGTGTAAAAAATAGCGTAATTTCATCAATATTTATGATGATACAGCTAAACTAAATAATTGCCTATTATTTTACTATTACTCCCGTGCGTAATGGTCAATTGTGTGGAAATAAAGCTTCGATATGATAACAACACAGTAATTGCCCAAGCAGTACGTAAACGTTCGAGGAACGTTCGCTTTACGTTCACTTGGTTTGGTTATATTCAATCAAAATGGGAAGATTCGAAGAATACATTTTAAAACCTTTAATATATATCTTACGTAGCAAAAGTGTCACAATATCACAATTATACTGTTCTATTACATATTAATATGTTTTAGCAATTAATATTGTGACGATGCAAATTTTCGCTCGTCACTCAGGTCGTAGCCTGGCCGAGGAGGAGCCGGAGGCTCGTGCCTTCTCGTAAGAGAAGGCGACCGAGTTTACAGATTTGTGGTTTCGTGCGCCCGTCGTTTTTTTGCGCACGAGACATGACCCGCGGCTACTATATATATTTTTTTGAGTGTAAGAATACCCCAAGCTAGAACACCGGAGGAGAGGAAGCAGACAGGAAACGGAGCTGTCGGGAGGAGCCAAGGACTCGGAAGATAAGAGAAGCAAGGGCTCGGAAGGAGCGGTTAGGGCGACACGCGAAAGAACGGGGAGATCTCCCTTTCCCGAACGGACGGCTGGTAACAAACAGCGGGAATGGCCACCTTGCGCTAAGAAAAGCGCAAGTTCCCGTGACTTGGTCGCAGATTATGCGAAGGAGGACCCCGAGGGGAATCCTTTCGAACGGCTGCGAGCCCAACAGTTGCCGAATGTCGTCACGGGAAAAAACAAGGATAAACAAGCGTCGAGATAACTACAACAGACGCGGAGTTCCCGCGAGCACCCTTGATACGCGTGATCTAGTCGGCAGGACCAATCGAACGGCGTGACAGATCCTTGCGGCAGCTGCCTCTTGGGCGAAGTGACGAGCACTGCTCGAAACTGTATGACCCGACGGCAAGCTAGCGAGACGTCCGAGCCAGCGAGCGAACAAGAAACGCTGCCGTGTCCGAAGGACGATATCCCGAGGAAGAGAGGCGAGCTTCCGGTGGTGAGTGGATGAGCGAGTATCTTGTACAACCGCGGGTAAAGAAGTAGAGTTGCGAATTAATTCCGAGTCGGTTGTCGTCGCTTCCCGACGGCATAAGCGCGATCAGAGTACCAGGAAGAAAACTCGTTGGAGGTCCGTGGCGCCCGGAAGGTAGGGCCGCCCGGACTTACGAGATTGGGGGCTACGTCGCAGGGCGACAAGGGCCATGCTCGAGAGCGTCTCGAGCGTAAGGATCCCGGAGACTCGGTCGCCTTTTCAAATCGCCGGTCGCATAGTCGTCGTCGGAATTGCATTGAATATTGTATATTGAGCCGTGTTAGGAGCTCGTATGTTTGTCGTGGAAGCTGTTTCTGGCGAAGAGCTAGATCGAATTGTACGTAATTGGCCGGGAGCAGTAACCACTGTCAGAAAAGACTCGGCTGGCGTCCAACGGAAAATCCGACGAAATTCACGTAACGACGCCGGGCAAGAGAGCTTCGTTAATACGACGCGCGTATTAGAGCTGCCGTCGTGCGGCCCAGATCCGCCGCAGAAAGCATCTCGCGGAACATCTCAGGCGAGATATCGCTCTCTTTTGATCGTGTTACGGAATCTCCTGTGGTACAGAATTTAGTTGCCTGTAATGGAAGGACACAGGCTAACTAACGAGCTATGTCAATGTCACACCGTATGATCGATTATCTGTAGGATTAAGTCATTATCTGCCTTAAAGTTCAATAGAATTAAAGTGTTGTTATTTTATTGTTAACAAGTCTCTCATTTATTATCGGCTCCTCTCCGACGTGTCCGCGAGTATCGAGGAAGAACGTTAAAAACCACGACGCTCTACCACGAGGAATAGCGAGGGAGTGGACTCGCTTTTAGAAAAATAAACTGAGCTAGCTGAGGTGGGTCCGCTGTCGCGCGAATGCGGGAGCGAAGAAGTCCCATAACCGACGCGGATGCAAATTGCAGTGATAATATATTTTTTAAATAATTTGTTATAGACATAATCAAACTTCAATATGTATATATTTTAATTAAAAAATGGAATTGTAACAGCATAATTGTGGTACTGCGACACTTTTGCTACGTAAGATATATATTTAAGATTCTAAAACGTATGTTCTTCGAAAGTTCCCACACTGTTTGAATATAACCAAACCAAGTGAACGTAAACCGCGTACTAGACGTGGTTGGGTGTCCGGGCTGGCCCGCCGTTCAAGATTGATTCCATGCAAAGTTGCGAAAAAAACGTACGAAATGTGAAATATGTACGAAATGTTATTAAATTTTATTAATAATTTTTGTTGACTTATATTTTTCGTACACTATACTGAAGTATAATATATTGTTACGTCCTAGAACAAGATGTACGCAACAAACATCGCTTACTCGCGCACTCGCGAGGCCTAAACGTACTGGTAGGTCTGCAGATCAGGTCAAGGTCCGGAGAGGCCCATTTACTCCGACAGAACGTACGTTAGGTGATCCTTTATTTAGGGGGAAGTCTACTGTAAAATTTTCAAAAAATCAATTTTTTGTTTATTGGCTTAAAAAATACTTTGAACCCTCTAAAATAAGGTACATTAGGTGTTATAGCCGGCTAAATTTTTCTTCATTGAAATTTCGACCTTTTACCGAAGCGCTCCGAAACGCGTACCTGCNTTTAATGTACGTTTATTTAATGTAATTTAATTTAATGTACGAGTCATATTTTGTTAGAAAAAAAATTCGGAAAATCGGCCTGTTTTTTCCCTTGTCACAGTAGACTTCCCCCTTTAGGTCAAAGAACTTAATCTCTTTACCTGGGATAGAACTATATGAGAGTGTTGAAAGAGGAATTAAGATTTAAATAATTGAAAGGAAATGAATGAATAATTATAACAACTTGGTTAAATTTAGAGCATTTTAAATAAAACATGTTATTAATAACATAATTTGGTTCTCGGATGGATTAATAATAGTGGTAAATTGATATGAAAAGTCATTGTAAAAGATACAACATTTAAAAGATGAAAGGGTTAGCTAAAGTTAAACAATGAAATATGTGGGTTAACATTAAACAAACTTTTATAAATCAGCATTANAATATGTGGGTTAACATTAAACAAACTTTTATAAATCAGCATTATTGAAATAATGCAAATACAAAATGAAGATTAAAGTAAGATTAAGTAAAAAAGTAATCCGTGTAACTTAATATAATATAATCGGATTTAACGTAAAAGAATGTTT